CTTGACATGGGTCACTGCCCTTGCGCTTGCCCAGGGTAAAACCCCTTGACCTCTGGTTCTTCATTCTTACATTCATACGCAATGGCAGGTCTCTCAGGAGTAACCAGCTCACAGGTTCAATCCCGGTAGAAATTGGCTCTCTACTATCTCTGTCAACCCTGTAAGGCTCCTTTCTGCCACATGACCCGGCTCCTCTTGAGCTGTGACAAGCCGGCATGCTGACTAGACAAGCTGGAGACTCTGCTCGACGAGCTGGGCTGGCAGCTGACTCGGCCCGTTGTAGCAAGCTGGTCGAGTCGATACGACCTGGCTCCGACCTTTCCACGAGCCGGCAGGCACTGCTTGATGAGATGTGCGTGATTCTGTCTCACAAATCCATGCTGGCACCTAGCCGCCAGATCCACAAGACGGGGTAAAAGCTGCGAATCTTCTGGACTAGCCATTCAAGGGTCGGCAATGATCAGACCACTCATCGAGCTGACTGCCAGGTCTTGACAAGTCCGGGTTGTTGGCCCGCACTGCTGACGAGCCGAACCGACAAGCTAATCTGTTGGCTCAGACCTATGCTAGTGTGTGCTCCCCCCTACACTATCTCGTCTCACTATAATTTGTCACCTCCTTTTCCTCTACATTTCTTTTCCGTGACTCCCTCCATTCCCTTTCGTACCTTGTCCTGCAAGCACACCAATGGACTCGAATCCTTTCTTCCGTGTGTCCACCCTCCACATATCCAACAGCTCTCTCTACTCCAACATGCTGTCAGGATCTGTGCCCTCCTCGATCACAAAGCTCACTGCTCTTGCTTATTTGTAATTGGTCTCCAAGCTCCCAAAGGTCCAAATGGACCTGCAAAAGGAAATTAGTATTGGATCTAGTTCTGTTGTACTGTTTTCCTTTGTCTAAACAGTTTGCAGCTTGTGCAACAAAGAGTATTGTAGTAGCACTACTAAGGCACGAGCAAGGGCTGAGACAGGGCATGGCCGGCACGAAACAAGCTGGGCAACCTTTCTAAGGACGGTGATTCTCTGTGTCTCTACCACATCGTTTGATTCCATTTCGGTACTGAAACATTTGTTGACAGAAAGAAAAAGCCTTGGAAAATGTGATCACAGCAAATGCGATTCAGGCCAAACCCGAGCTAGCCTGTGTCGGACCGCCGTGGCTGACTGGAAGCTGACCTGAATTGGCCATCAGGCTGGTGACGGTCAAACAGGGCCAGCCCGTTTGATCCTTCCTCATGTCTAGCCTCATATCACCGACCTATCTTCCTTCTCACCAATTTGTTCATCTCCCTTGCACGGCATCCACTCACATGGTACTCGCCTTCCTGTCTCGGACAGGTCTCTCTCTAGGAACCAGCTCACCAGCTCCATCCCCGCTGGCGTTGGCTTGCTGACAAAGCTGGTAACAATGTAAGGATGTATTGCATTGTAGGTACTTCGCCCACATTCCTAGGCATGAGCAAGGTTCAAACCAAACAGCTTTCACACCACCGTCAAGCGCCTCCACTCAGATGGGGGTGGAGGGTTTCAGAACCGCACTCTTCAAGCGTTCAATACTTATTCACAGGGATTTGGTCATGCCCAGTTTTGATACCCTGTTTTTGATACCCACGTTCGAGGTGGCGAACAGAGAGGAATCTGAAAGCACTAGACTAGATTCTAGTCACTAGAGTGTGCACCTGTTTTTGGCGAACAGCACCTGTTCGCAAGGTGGCGAACAGATGAAGGGGTGTAAGTGGGTGCTACACTGAGAGGAATCTGAAAGCACTAGACTAGATTCTAGTCACTAGAGTGTGCACCAACAGGTTAGAAACTTGGGTGAGTGTGCTGATTGTAGCAGGAATGCTGCCAGACAGCTGGTTGATTGAAACATCTCTGAACGGATACAAGAGAAGACAAGACAGAAGACAGGCGGGACAGCGATGAGGTTGGGGAAGACCAGACGAAGGGTAAAAATGAATGAAGATGATCGTGCATGGACCAATGAGAACAGGGTAGGCTTGAGCAAGGTGGCGAACACCTGTTCGGTTCGCCTCGAACGTGGGTATCAAAAACAGGGTATCATAAATAATTACGGGTTCGGTTCGCCACCTTGCGAACAGGTGCTGTTCGCCAAAAACAGGTGTTCATAAATAATTCCCCTAATTAAAAATCATTAGCATTCCTCTCCTCATTCTAGTGCGTAATCCTAGCGGAAAGCTCATCTTGATGGGGAAATCTCTCTGTCCAATTCACACGGGTCACTGTCCTTGTGCCTGCCCAGGGTAAAACCCCACCCCACCTACTGGCCTGGTTCTTCCTTCTTGCATTCGTACGCAATGGCAGGATTCTCGGGAGAAATCAGCTCACGGGTTCAATCTTTGAGGAGATCGGTTCTCTACTATCTCTGTCAGCCCTGTAAGGCTCCCTTCCACCACCGGGTTCAATCTTTGAGGAGCATTTGTCTGGGCCAGCTGGCTCGTTTTGCACCGTGACAGGCCTGTGGACTGACAAGCCAAGCTCGTCTCTGCTTGTTTTTATGGCACGCCATCGGATCTCTATCGCGTCCGTCCTAGTAGGGTATGTGCGTTTTTGTAAAGGCAAGACTAGAAGTCGTGTATTGGTTCATACTGTAAATCTGGTTTTACGCATGGCGCCTAAAGGCCGGAAATCGGCCAGCGCAGGCTGTGGAAACGGTCGCGTTCAGACAAACCTCCGAATCCATGGCAATGCATGAGGACCACTCGAGGTGAACCTGGCTCGGCTCGTCACAAGCCCTTCATTGGCTCGGGTTTAATGCCAGAGCCACGGGCCAAGACCCAACACAAGCCGGCTCACCTTGGCTCGACTCGACTCGGCTCAAAGGCAGGACGGGCCACAGCCGGCTCGAGGCGAGCGTGGCTCGACTCTTGAAAAGGAGTCTACTCCTCACGTCTCGGTTTCACGACTGGTCTACTCTCACGTCTCGGCTGCCAAACGCGTTGCTCGATACTTGAAAAGGACTACCTCCCTTGGGCTTCTCCTTTGTGGCATTCCCAACGCCCTTGAACTTCATGGGTGGTGTGACACCTCTTGGGGACCGGACGCTCCGACGCTCTGTTACGTGCTACTTGTTCTTCCTCGGTCCGTCACTCATCTCTTGGCAGTCCAAACCCCAAGCCGTCGTCGCTACCTCTTCCTGTGAAGCTGAAAATTATTCTCCGGGCCCCGCGGTGCATGAGGCATTATGCCTTCGTTCACTCCTTACTGCACTTGGACTTCCCCAACCGGCCCCACCCGCATCTCGTGTGACAACAACAGTGCCATCATTCTCGCCAAGGACGATGGCGTCTTTCATCCAAAGGCCAAGCACATCGACATCAAGCACCATTTCGTTCGTGATTATGTTGCCGACCACTCCGTCACCCCTCACTATGTTCCTACTCAAGACAACCCCGCAGACATTGGCACCAAGCTTTTGCCCCATGACCCTTTTCTTCGCATCCGTGATCTTCTCGTTCTCACCCATGTCTCCTCTTGAAGGACCCTACGCCCGGGACATCCTTAAGGGGGGGTGTTGTGCAGCAAATATGTCCCAGTGGGTAGATTCTCACTTTTGGTCTTAGAGGTCGTCGGTTCAACTCTCAGCAGCTGCACTTTCCTTTTATTATGCTCAACATGACATGTCCACACTCCACCACAGTGAAGAGTGGTCACAGTTGGCATTGCCACCTGTCCACTCATCCCAAACTCACCTTGCTGGCGCCTATGGTGTGTCATATGCTGTCATGCGGGCTGTTGTTCCAGTCTGGCCCACATGTGCAACATGAGGCCTCACTTGCTAGCTTGGCAAGGTTGGCTAGCCTTGCCCTCAAGTTTGAGGTACTGCAGCTAGCCTCAAGAGTACAGCCACATATATGTGGTTTCTTACTTCACTAGGAATTATCCTTGGAGAAGAACCTTGCTCTAGGCTCTAAGACTTGTACCATCTTCCTGCGAATGATGTTTTCTTCTTCCTATTGTGCCTCAAGTTCACCGATCCATTTTTTTCACCTTCCTCCGCCATGTCGTCGTCGTCCTCCTCCATCCTGTACCCTTGCGGGAAAAGGGCAGTCGGGATGTTCCCTGTGACAACCCATCTGCCCGCTTCCTTGTTGTGCCAGTTGCGCACAGCTGGAACGTTGTGCGCAACGTACACAAGGTCCGCACACTTGGCGGACCCAAACCGTTTGGAGTGTGGTTGTGTGTGGGGTAGGGGTTGGAGTTTAAATTCGAATCTCAGGATGGGGAGGTTGGATGGGTGGAGTGTGGCTGTGGGTGGGGTTGGGGTTGGACACTGAAATTCGATTTTCAAATCTGTGTTGGTCTCGGTGCGATGTCGGGGTAACAATTTGCGACTTCGCGCAACGTCGCAAATTTTTTTTTTAACAGGGAAATTATTTTTTTGGCTGGGCTACCCAAGCGTTTTAGCGTATTTGATATATTCGCAAACGAACATATGCTGCACGCCCCCTTCCCCTGAGCGTATCTGCCAACTTAGCAACCACCTCAACGGCTCCATCCCGGTGGACATTGGCGTCCTCACCAGGTTGACAAGCATGTAAGAAGATATGTTTTTCGTTGTTATTCACAAATCTCCTATGCTCTCCCAAGAAATTTTCCTTTCCTGTTCAATATACCTCACCCTAGGGATGAGCAGAGGGCGAACTCGAACATGTTCGAGTTCGCCCCCTCTCGAACATGTACCTTTGCCGAACCGAACAGTGTTCGGTTCGGCGAACTATTCGGCCAAAAATAGGTGTTCGCCGTTCGCCCTATGAGGCGAACGATTTTTTGCAGCAGGCGAACACGAACATGTTCGAGGCGAACATGTTCGTGTTCGCCCAGGGGAAAATTCACTATAGTCACACATGTCAAAAAACAGTTTTCAAGGTTCAGGATGATAGCAAAATGTGTGCAGGGTGTATATGTGTGCATGCAACGAACCCAATACTACAACATCAAATACTGTGAAGGGAAATGTCAAAGTCTAACAAATTCCTACACTAAGGCGCCACTGCTACTACCAACAACAGCATCCTCTCCACCAGCTGTGTCGTTAGCCTCCACACCCTCCTCCTCCTCCTCCTCCTCGTCATCCTCCTCTGCCCCCTCGCCCTCAATGGCGAACTCTGGTGGTGCGACGCCTCTCGGTTGGCGGCCCTCGCCTATCCTCTGGCCAGGGTGTGAACTGTACCATGATCTGAGAATCATGACAGCTCGCGTCCTCTGAGAGGCCAGGCGGTGCCGCTTCCAGGAAATGAGGTTGCGACCAAGGGAGAACACCCGCTCACTCGAAGCGGACGTGGCAGGGATGGCGAGATAATCCCGGGCCATGCGTCTCAGCGTCTGCATGTTGGTGGCACTGCGCCAGTACTCTAGCGCTGTCACGTCGCACCGCACCCTCTCGGACAAGTACCTGCTAACCTCGTCATCCTGCACCATCCCACCCGCCCCCGCCTCCTGGCTCGCCGACAGACGCGCCGCAAGTCGTCGGCGACTAGGGAGAAACTGCGCGTCATCGTCGTCCTCCGCCTCGTCTCCCTCCTCCTCCTCCGCAATGGGGGCAAGTGGGGTCGGCCGTGGAGCAAGCTCTGCAGCCCGGGCCTGGTACTCGGCCACGCGGTCGCGCACCAGCTTGATCACCTCGCCAGACGCCGGACGCGGCCTCACCCTCCTGTCGGTCTCGGGATGCAGCTTCTCCCAGTGCGCGTCGTCGAACCACGCCGCCTTCATGGATGGGTCCAAGAAGGTGGCGATCTAGTACTCGTTGCTGGTGATGTAGGCGTACTTCTTCAAGTGGCTCAGCGCCGCCACGATCATCGGCTGCAGCGTCGGAGATGGCCCCTTGGCAAGGCGCGACTCCATGGCGTCGATCAGGCCGTTGTAGTACGGCACCACCATCGACACAGTCGGGTACGCCGCCCCCTCAGCTGCCTTGGAGACCTTGGCGAAGGGGCTTAGGAATGTCTTCATCGCCTGCAGGGTCTCCCAGTCTGCGACTGTCAGGCGCAGACTCTCCACCTTCTTCTTGTCGGTCTTCGACAGGCCCTGTCGGGTAGAGGGAATGGTTTGGGGGGAGGTATGAGGGAAACTGTGATTATGGAGGAGGATTTTGGCATCCGGCCGGCAACATACAAGCTTGACCAACAATATTGTGTAGACGTGCTAACACACCACACCATGACATAACCACACACTACAACAACCCACACAAAACACATGTGTTACCTGTGTCTGGGCGAAGAAGACAGTGATGGGGTTCTGCAGAACACCCGCACGCTCGACCATGTCGTGGGTCGACCCCTAGCGCGTAGGACTGTCCTGCACCAGCTTCAACGCCGGCTTCGGCGTGGCGGGGTTGGCCTGCGAGTTCAAGGTCCGCTGTAGGCCCAAGAAAGACCCCGAGCGCTGTGGAGAGAAGCCAATCCACGACGCCATCTCTCTCAGTATCTTCAGCAACTTCCGTATGGAATCCACAGCCAGTGCTGCCTGCACTGCAAGGTTTATCACGTGTGCCAAGCACCTGCGCACGGAACACAACATTAGGGAAAGAGATACGGGGAAGTTGGAGGACACATGGTTAGAGCGAGCCATAAAACCAAACCAGACCCCACACAACCTACAACTCGAACCGCACCGGCCCACCCCTCCATACAACTACAAATTGTCCATGTTGGAACGACACACCCACAAAGGCAAACACACGCCCACACTCCCGCACGCCCAACCCACGCACACTCCCACACTCACCGGAAGTGCATGCGCGAGCTGAAGAAGCACTGACCACCACCCTCCTCCGACATCCGCGTGAAGGCGGCAATGTTGCTAGAGGCGTTGTCTGTCGTGAAACCAAGACAACGCCCCTCCAACCCCCACTGCACAACATTCTCCTCAACCACCTGTGTCATCTCCCTGCCCCCATGCCGCCTGAGCATCTCACGGAACTCAAGCACCATTGTGCGCAGCTGGAAGTTCTCGTCTATCCAGTGACCTGTCACCACTAGCTATGCCTTGTTGTTGGGTGCCGTCCACATGTCGATGGTGATCGACACCTTGCACCCCAACTCCCCCTCCTTCGCCAGCATCTCCGCAATGGCGGACTGGAGAGCTGCTGTTGCATAGACCACGGTGTCGCGGGATACCGTCCAGCGCGAGAGGATGAAGTTCTTCTGCGCGCAGTTGCGGTTTAGCAGGATCAATAGCTCCCGAAACTGGAGGAGGGTAGAGTAGAGACAACGAGGGAGAGGGTTTTCAACGTCAAGGGGATGGTTTTGAGACAAAGTGGCACACGATTACAATAGAAGCATCAAATAGTCAACCACATACTGCCAAATCCCCTTCATACAGGAGGCATGTGACACTCATGGCCTCGGACTCGACGATGCGGAAGGGGAGGTCGCAGGTGACCACCAGCTTGGCGATCGCCTGCCGTAGCTCCTCCGTGGTCAGCTTGGTTGTCATGAACCGCTCCATCCCGCCTGACCTCCGAGCTCCACCGGACGCCGTCCCTTTCTTCTTGGCGAGATGCGGCCAAGACTTGGCATGCGGCCACCCATCGACGTAGCCATCCGGCACACCCTTGTAGCCCCCACGAGGAAACGTCTCCCCAGGCAAGTGAACGGACGGAGTGTGGTAACGGTGATGCCACACGTGCATGTGCGCTGTGTGGTAGCTCTCGAAGTGCCGCTCGCCGAGTGTTGTTGTGGATTGCTTTTCACGAAATCCTGTCAGTGCAAATCTTGCACTGACGCTTCTCGTCTGCCCCTTTAGGCCCGAACATCTGTACTTGCCACCCCGGTTTCTTATTACCCTTGCCAGTCCCCTTACTACTCTCGGAACCTCCGTCCTCGTCTAGGAACTCCAGAGCGACCACACCCTTGCCCAGGGGCTTCCCAGTGAATGTGCAGGGATATGCTCGCTCCCTCAACTTGTTCGCCCTCTTCCTCCGCTTCGGCATCGCAATGGATGCCCGCGTTCTCCCTATCTTAACCCCCACGCTCCCTCCTCCTTCAGCCACATGCTGTGAGGCCGCCTCTGTCGCCGCCCCTCCACCACCCTCTCCCACCCTCCACCTCCTCTGGCTCCAACCCATCCATCTCATGGTCCTCCTCATCATCCCCCCCTTTCCCACCGCCATGCGTCTCGGGATCCCACCCGGCCTCACTGTCATCCCCGCTCCCCTCATCGTCCTCATCCTCCTCGCCCTCACCCTCCTCCTCCTCATCGTCCTCCCCACTGCCACTCTCCGGCTGCGTCTGCCCAGAAGGAGGGGGTCGCGGGCCTGAGTAACTTCACGAGTGACGGGACGTCGGCGCCGCTACGGAAAGAAACCCCCCGACGAAACAAGTGCCGGCTCCTGCAGGTCCATCCCCTACTCGCCCCTGCATAGGTCGTGGTGGAGAACCTGGTGTACCGCCCTGAGCGCTGCCTGCACCTCGTTCTACAAATCCATGTTGGCCGGAAGCCATAAATTTGCCCTCGGCCTTAAAACCCTAAAACCCCAAAGGAACGGTCGCAAGCCACGGATAGCACGGTCCTAATTGAACTCCTAGTTACGTGTGGCACGGAGAAATGCCCGCCCCTACAACTAGAGAATTGACCTCTACGAAATTGATCCCGTAGCTACTACGAACTAACCCTTAGTGTTTCTGAAATTACCCTACACTACTACGAACTACATAGTTGAAATGTTAGTGTAATAGTTAGGGAACGGTGTGCGGTCGCTCTTAAAGGGATGAAGCCTATGGTGGTTGAGGGGGGGAGGGCTAAGCGCCAAAGACGTTTTGAGTTTGAGCTCAAAAAATGAGCTCAAACTCAAATCGGCCGGGACCTAAATTTGGTCGCGGCCAATTTTGACGCGAACACTTTGGTGTTCGCGTCAACCCCAAACGAACACGAACATGTTCGTGTTCGTCCACACTCCGCCAAATGGAGGTGGCGAACGGCGAACATGTTCGGCCGAACACCGAACATGTTCGCCCCGAACTATTTATTTCTAAACCCGAAACCCCAAAAAAAATAGTTCGGTTCGGCGACCCGAACAGGTGTTCGAGATGTTGCTCATGTCTACCTCACCCTCTTTGCTCTCCCTGGATTCCTTCCTCATTCCCCTCACTTCCATGTTTCCAGTTGTTTACATCCATTACTTCTCTATCAAAACCTTATCATCAATACTGGCAAAGGTGCTGTCAATAACCCTGAATGGGTAGTAGCCCTGTACGAAGTATATGAGAAGAGGAAATGCCTAGGACCAGGCTTTAGATATCCTGTTAAGAAAAGAGATTTGGAAGCCATGGTTGGCGAGAGTAAAAGTTACGTTGAGAAAGGTATCGAGATACATTTGAGCAAAGAAGTTGGAAAAACCTAATCGAACTTAAGACGCGTTCATTTTAGGCTATAACCTATGAAATGAACCTAAACTGAACCCTAAAGTATAACTTGCTCTCAACAAGTCGGAATAACAAGATAACACCATGATAAATCTCAGTGCGAGCTTTTAGCCTACTCCAACATCAATCCCTGTGGAAATTGGCTATCTATTATCTCTGTCATCCCTGTGAGGCTCCTCTCTACCACATGAACATAAGTCTGGGCTGAGCCGGCTTGAATTGAGCCGTGACAAGCCGGTGGGCTGACAAGCCAAGCTCGTCTCCGCTTGAGGATCCATCAACTTGTGACTCAGCTGACTCGGCAGCTGACTCGGCTCGTGGCTCGTCCATCGTAGCAAGCTGGTCGAGCCAGTAAGACCCAGCTCTGGCTTCTCCACGAGCCAGTACTTCTTGATGAGAAGTGCGCGTCGCAGTGTTCCAAATCCTTGCGGATCTGGCACCTACCCGCCAGATCCGTGTGGACGGGGTAAAGTTGGCACGCCTTCTGGGCAAGCCTATAAATGCTCACCACCAAGCAGGCTACTCATCGAGCTGACTGCCGGGTCTTGTTGAGCCCGGCTCGTCGAACCAGCAGCCGAGCCGAGCCTACGGAGCAAGCTCCCAGCATGTTCGGTTCGATCGCGAGCGGAGTTCGCTATGTGTTCGATCTGAATACGTTCGTGTTCAATATTTGCTCATGCCAGGGATAACTGCCCGGCCTATTGAGGAGCCGAGCCGTCGGCTCAGAATTTTGCTGGTGTCTACCCCGTGCTATCTCCTCTCTCGACGTTGTTACCTCCTTTCTTCCCCTGCGTCCACCTTTCCTATGTTTTCCTGCAAACACACCAATCGGCCCGAATTATTTCTTCCCGGGCGTCTACCCCCCACACCACCAACAGCTCTCTCGAATACAACATGCTGTCAGGATCTGTGCCCTCCTCGATCACAAAGCTAACTGGTCTTACTCACTTGTAATTTGGTTCCAAGTTTCCAAGGGTCCTGATGGATCTGCAAAGGATATGTCGGAAATCCTCTTAACCAACTCTCCTCATATTGCCTTCTCCTACTCCTCACTTCCTGCCCTACCCCCAACTGCTGCCTCCTTCTCCTTGCTGCCTTACTGCTGCTCTAGTGCCTTGGCTACTCCTGCCCTTCTCCCTGATGCCTCCCTCCCTGTCTCTACTTCCTAGCCATTCTTGCCCCTCATCCCTCCCCTCAAGTCTGCCACTTCCGGCTTCCTTCCTTACTGCTCTCCATTATTGGTGCGCCCTCCTGGTTCACTCACATCTTGACAGCTTAGTCTCCCATCGTCCTTGCTTGTCATGGCCCGTGTGCTTACACTTGGTAAGGTGAAGCGGATCACATGAATTAGCACAGAACATAGAAGCAATGCCAGGCTACTGCCCGTACAGACTATATCAACACATCATTCCTCCCCCTATTGTTACGCCCATCCCATATGTCGAGCAGAAGCCCCTCGGTTGAGCCAAAGGGCAACCCCCACTGCCTTTCTTCCCACCGCCACTTAGCCCTCCAGCATCTGACCTCCAGCTGTAACAAAGAGTCTCAGCTGGCTCGTGCAGCGAACCTGCATGAATGGAAACATTCACATGCACACAAACGAAAGCAATTACGACGACTTCCAGCTCTCCTCCAACCCAGTTGCACCTTCCTCCCCCATTTCCGTGCCTGTGCCCTCCTCGATCACAAAGCTCATAGCTCTTACTTTCTTGTAACTTGGCTCCAAGTTCCCAAATGTCTTGATTAGATAGACATTGGGTATCAATATTGCGTAGGGATCCATGGTCTTATTTCATTTGTACACATCTATTTTGGAAAGAGCAATAAAAGTGTTAGTACTACTAGTCAGGCATGAGCAAGGGCCAAGCCAGGGCCAGCGCGAAACAAGGTGGGCAACCTTCTGTGTTCAGATTTTTTGGAGACAGGTGCTTCTAGGCACTTACACACTCATTGGAGAAAACAAAAAACCGCTCGGAAAGATGGGACATAGGTTCGTGACAAACCCCCACTGGCCAGGCCGGAACCATATAGCTGGCCCATGGGCTGGCCAGGATAGAAATCAGCTTGACCTGAACTGACTGAAACCCAACCTGGTTTGGTTCTCAGACTGCAGCCCAAGTTTGACTCGTACTCATGTCTAATCTCATGCCACTACAACAATTGTCTTACCTAGCTTCTAAACGGTTTGTCTTGTCCATCTCCTTTGCACGATCCCCGCTTGTCCCTCGTCTCGCTGTCTCGGACAGATGTCTCGCGCGCAACCAGCTCACCAGCTCCATCCCCGCTCACATTGGCTTGCTGAGAAAGCTGCTATACCTGTAAGTAGGCATGAGCAAAGGGCGAACTCGAACATGTTCGAGTTCGCCCACCCTCGAACATGTAGTTTTGCCGAACCGAACACTGTTCGGTTCGGCGAACTAATTAGCTGAAACTTGGTGTTCGCCGTTCGCCCTAAGTGGCGAACGATTTTTTTCAACAGGCGAACACGAACATGTTCGAGACGAACATGTTCGTGTTCGCCCACGGGAAAATTCACTATAGTCACACATGTCAAAAAACAGTTTTCAAGGTTCAGGATGATAGCAAAATGTGTGCAAGGTGTATATGTGTGCATGCAACAAACCCAATAGTACAACATCACATACTGTGAAGGGAAATGTCAAAGTCTAACAAATTCCTACACTAAGGCGCCACTGCTACTACCAACAACAGCATCCTCTCCACCAGCTGTGTCGTCAGCCTCCACACCCTCCTCCTCCTCCTCCTCGTCATCCTCCTCTGCCCCCTCGCCCTCAATGGCGAACTCTGGTGGTGCGACGCCTCTCGGTCGGCGGCCCTCGCCTATCCTCTGGCTAGGGTGTGAACTGTACCATGATCTGAGAAACATGACAGCTCGCGTCCTCTGAGAGGCCAGGCGGTGCCGCTTCCAGGAAATGAGGTTGCGACCAAGGGAGAACACCCGCTCACTCGAAGCGGACGTGGCAGGGATGGCGAGATAATCCCGGGCCATGCGTCTCAGCGTCTGCATGTTGGTGGCACTGCGCCAGTACTCTAGCGCTGTCACGTCGCACCCCACCCTCTCGGACAAGTACCTGCTAACCTCGTCATCCTGCACCATCCCACCCGCCCCCGCCTCCTGGCTCGCCGACAGACGCGCCGCAAGTCGTCGGCGACTAGGAAGAAACTGCGCGTCATCGTCGTCCTCCTCCTCGTCTCCGTCCTCCTCCTCCGCAACGGGGGCAAGTGGGGTCGGCCGTGGAGCAAGCTCTGCAGTCCGGGCCTGGTACTCGGCCACGCGGTCGCGCACCAGCTTGATCACCTCGCCAGACGCTGGACGCGGCCTCACCCTCCTGTCGGTCTCGAGATGCAGCTTCTCCCAGTGCGCGTCGTCGAACCACGCCGCCTTCATGGATGGGTCCAAGAAGGTGGCGATCCAGTACTCGTTGCTGGTGATGTAGGCGTACTTCTTCAAGTGGCTCAGCGCCGCCACGATCATCGGCTGCAGCGTCGGAGATGGCCCCTTGGCAAGGCGCGACTCCATGGCGTCGATCAGGCCGTTGTAGTACGGCACCACCATCGACACAGTCCGGTACGCCGCCCCCTCAGCTGCCTTGGAGACCTTGGCGAAGGGGCTTAGGAATGTCTTCACCGCCTGCAGGGTCTCCCAGTCTGCGTCTGTCAGGCGCAGACTCTCCACCTTCTTCTTGTCGGTCTTCGACAGGCCCTGTCGGGTAGAGGGAATGGTTTGGGGGGAGGTATGAGGGAAACTGTGATTATGGAGGAGGATTATGGCATCCGGCCGGCAACATACAAGCATGACCAACAATATTGTGTAGACGTGCTAACACACCACACCATGACATAACCACACACTACAACCCACACAAAACACAAGTGTTACCTGTGTCTGGGCGAAGAAGACAGTGATGGGGTTCTGCAGAACACCCGCACGCTCGACCATGTCGTGGGTCGACCCCCAGCGCGTAGGACTGTCCTGCACCAGCTTCAACGCCGGCTTCGGCGTGGCGGGGTTGGCCTGCGAGTTCAAGGTCCGCTGTAGGCCCAAGAAAGACCCCGAG